ATGTAGCAAAAAAATTAAGCAAAATATTTATTAAATTAATTATTGATGTCTAATTTAGCAAAGATAAAGAAAATATTGCCTCATTTATTTAATAAAATAGCAAAAAACTTACAAATGGAACGCTTGAAGAGGGCAAAGGTTAATAAAGGTCAGAAAATCTATCGACAACCACAGCTAAGCACTTCCATTTCAGGATAGTTCTTAATAACAATTTTTCCTTCAACATCGATATACAAAATAGCCAGAGATTCCATCTCGATAGGTACACAGCATGGAGCTGGCACTAAACTTGGATCTACTGAATTAATCAAGCCTTGAACAATAGCATGATTGGTTGTATTGAAGAAAGAGGGCAATGGATTTGGACAAATTCCCTGACATTGATAGGCGCTGTAGCTTGCTGCAACTTAATGACCTATTAGTTTGACCTCAATAAAGGATTTATTCAGCTTAATCTAGCTAGATAACGTACTCATAGTCTCCGTGCTATTTGAAAAACTTATGAAAGATTAATCGTAATCATGATAAATGACAATTTCTAGAAAACTATCTTAAGTAATTTTGAAAGCATATTAAACTTGGCAAATTTTTTTCGCACAAAATGATCTATCTACCTATGCTATAATACCTGATGTATTAACTATAAATTGACTAAAAATTTAAATTGCACTTTTTAGAATTACTTAAAAAACAAAATAAATAAAAATGCTTACACGGAGCTAAAATCCAATCTTGCCAGTTCAGTTCATTAAAGTCAACTAAAAGTTCACTACGACGACAATAATTTACGACCACTGGTCGATAATTGTGGTACTTTTTGTGTTGATGTCGTCGTCGCGTATTAGCTTTTCGTTTCCGTCGCACCTAAAATATTCAGAAGTTCGATTTTCATTTTTTATTGATTAAATCGAAGAAATTATTAATTAAGGATCAATTTGCATAAAACTTTCAATTTACTGATTAGTTCTATCTGCAAATATTGCTCACTTTTACGTACAAATTTCGACTAATTAACAATGAACTTTTTGTTTCTTGCTTTAGCAATGTAATAACCATAATACTACAGATATAAACTATACTATTATTATTATTGGAAACAGCATTATCATTATTTTTTATAGCAATTTTTTTAGTAGTATAGTTTATTATTGCATTATAGAGATTAATCATTATATCTTTAAAATTTACAATAATACAAACGCATAAAACTGCTATGCTAAAATAAAAATAATAATTGAGAATAAATAATCTCATAAAATGACTAATAATTACTTTATAAGGATTAACCTTGACAGGATTATCAATACTTTGGACATAAACAACTAATGCTGCAGCTCGTTTACTATCATTCGGGAGATCAAAAAATTCAAGACGTTGATAAGACGTACGTGCTTGTTTCATCATTTGATTACTTGATATTTCTACAGCAAAATCAATCTAAATTTTAAATCATATTTATTGTTAGACTGATTAGTATTTAAGTTTTATAAAAAGTAAAATTTAACAAAAGAATTAAATTTTTAATCATTAGCAATATCTTTTTTAATAAAAATTACTTGATTTAAAAATAATGCGAATGACCACGAACGTACTTTATTCATATTAGGTCGTTTCCTACGTAATCCTTCTGTTACATCCATTTCAATCCAGTGATAATTACTGTATAATAAACTTTGCTCAATAAATTTAGCATCAATCAACCTGCAACGTTTCATATTTTTGATAATAACTTGTAAGAACTAAATTGGTACGAAAAAAAGTATAAATTTTTATTTTACGAGCAAATTACTTGACTACTTTTATTCATTTTTCAATACACGCATAAAATAATTAATATTAATTATACTTTACCTCCAAATTTCAGAATTTCTTTGATCAATCTCGTAAATTTTGATATGTCTTCGATAATTCGCCTTTTTAAGCTTTAATTTCAAGTTTGCTCGGCTGATAAGCTCATTACTCGTATTTTGTACAGTTACAGATAAATCGTAATTTAGAAAAAAAGTGCTGAAAATATTTAGCTTTTAGTAAATATTACAATTATACAAAACTATTTATTCAAAAGCAAAAATTATAAAATAATTTATGCATAAATTTAAACTTTCCAAAAATAGAATACAATTTCAGTAAAAATAAATAACAGTAACAATTGTATAGCATTATATAGTACTAATTACTTATAATTACTTATTATCGAATCCATGAATGTCACTTGGATAATAGTGTCGAACCCAATCAACATTTTCATATTTCACTTTTTCATAAATATCCCAAATATATTTGGGAACTGGTAGAGCTGGGTTGGTTTGTTTTGGTTGCTCTTTCATTCCAAATCTTGAAATTTCTCAAGGAAAGTTTGTGATTATTATTTTTTGCAAATTTATTATCAAAAGGATAAGTCTTGATAAATGCATATAATTTAATTTTTGAATCAAAAATTAAGCAAATAATTTTCAAAGTTCATGAAAATTAAACAAAATTAAGTTAAGCTATGCAATATTTGAAAAAATTCATATGAAAAAACCGCATATTACTGTTTGAAAAAAATATTACTGTACAGCGTGATTTTTTCATAATTAGTAAAATGTAATTTAAAAATTGACAAAGCTATCTAATTTGGCTATTACTGTAAAACAGACTTACTTTTTTAAAAATGCTTCTCTTAAAAGTTGAATTTCTTCTTCAGCAAACCGATTTGTTTTAGTTGCTGTGACAGTTACAGTAGCTGATGATCGTAATGCCAAAGAATTATCAATAACAATTATAACAAAAAACAATAACGATTTGAATGCTTTTAGTAATGAGCTTCTTTGCCTATTACGGTAGAAATGGTATTTTTGTTTTACTTTGCCACTTTCTATCGTATTTTTAGGAAATAAAATAGGCAGAAAAGTAGTAGAAATTGTAGAAGAAATACAAATAGGTATATTGAATTTGACTTGCACGAATGTGTGCTTTTTAATTTGAATTTCTGATTTGTTGAAATCCAAAAGTTTGTTCATTTTAAGACACAGCAAAGGAAGAAGCTCACAACAGCTACTGAGAACTGCATTGAGCCTCCTGTCCTTTTTGAATAGCAGTGATAATGATGACTATGATAATGATAATAACGATAACGATGATGCTGATTGTATAAGTAATAAATGGCTGATATAGTAATAATACAAGTTGCTATTATAAGCTGCTTCTGTAATAATAATAGATGACAGATATAATAGTCGGTGACGATATTAATTTTGTAGATTACAATTAGTTCAAAATGAGCAATGTATATTCTTTTGTACTAAAATTTGTCTTTTCCTTCAGCTGTATTCTTTCTTTTCAGTAAGCAGAAAACATCTGTTACAGATGTTTGCAAATTATGAAGGTAAAAAGGATTTAGTTTTTTTTGCTAGCCAAATCAAATCAGATATTAAGGCCTGTAATTTAAGTTTTAGGCCTGCATTTTATGCCCCTTGTAGCCTTCTTAAATTGAGCTTATTAAATCTCAATTTTTTCCACAAGTACAGCAATTTACCAGTATTATTAGTGATAGTAATAGTTTGATTATTAATTTTATTATTTATTTCATTAAACAGATTCTTATTTTGGTTAATTTGGCAATATTTTTTCGTCTCCTTTTATAAAATAACTTTTTCTGTCGTTCTGTTTCTTTCTTCTTCGATATTGCAATGACTGTTTGTGTAGCCAACTTGAATCTAAAAATATTAATTTTTTATACTAACTAAAAAATAAATTTTGCCTAATTATAAATTGTTCACTTACGGAGCTTATTTAAATGTATTCATTGTAGTTAGTTTTATTTTCAATGATAAAAGTTTTTTAAATATTTGTATATTTATAAATATAATTTTATTATTATAAAATATTTATATTCATAAAATGTTGTATTTATTCATGCTTTATTTTGAAAACAATTTTATATTTGTTTATATTTACGAAAATTTGATTTAAAAAATCGGGATTAATGTTTGAATATGACTCAGAAATAAACACACGTAGTTTTTGTGATTTAATATTTATTTATTTAATGCACTGATTATTTTTAAACTAAAAAACAATTTTTGCCGAACTATATAAAATCAAAAAGGATATTTAAATTTCGAAAAATTTCAAAAATTTGAATTTTATAGATAATAATGTCCTTAAGAATGTGTAAGCATTTTTGATAAACGAAACTGTTAATTACAAGTAGATATTAAAGTAAACACTTTACAAAATTTAGTTTTTGGGCGGGAAAATTTTGAATAAACTAATAACTTTGACATAAAATTTGCATAATTTGTATCTGAAAATAAATTATGCGTCAGAATTAGTTAGCTAATCATTTTTAATACATTTTGATGCTGAAAAAAAGAATAAAATTTTCAGATTTTCCGGAAGTCTAGCAAAAAAATTGAATAATAATTTTTCATGCATTATTTAAAAAATTTTTTTATCAGAATTTATTGTTTTCAAAGTAATGAAAGTAATTATACTGACATTGCACAAGTGTAAAGTCTCAAAACTTGTCCAGAATTACTTTATTTTAAAAAAATTTGAAATATTTTTGCAGTTAGCAGTAAAAAATAATGTTATTTACTTACAATAACACATTCATTTTTTACTTTACAGAAATATTTTATTATGAAAAATTATGAATTTGATTTATATATGTTTGCAAACTTTTTTAAATTAGCACAAATAAATAAAAATATTCTGTAACGAATTACTCAAATTCTAGAAATTCAATATATAATGGATTCTTATGCAAAACTAGCTGGTAATTTGCAAAATTTTTCGCTGTAAAAATGCAAAACAATAAAGGTTTTCATTTTTGTACTCGTTACTATGATTAAATTTAACTATATAAAATAAAAAAAAATTGAAAAATAGACTTAAGTTGAAGTATTATCATTGTTATTATTATTA